CCTGAGCATTCAAGTCTCCGGCTAGTACTACAATATCTGTCGAACGCACTTTCTGGAGAAGAACAGATAACTGGTGGTAAAACTCATCCTTGATTGCATCCGGGCTGCAATCTGTCGGAGCATAGGCGGAGATGACGAAAAGACATCGTTTCTCACGCCGATTTCTTCTCACTTTGATGGAACTCTCTAATCTAACAGCACATGACCGACTGTTAATGGGGATCCAATCGATTAGTGCTGCCTCAGCTCTAGCGCTTAGTGCGACACCAACGCCAGCAAGACCAGACGAAGATGCCACAGGGTCTCCGGATAAGCGCACGTAAAACAAGCTTTTTGAAGCGACAGATGGAGATCGAATTTGTAGTAATTCGCCAGAGTCTTGAATACGGATTTCGGATAGACAACAAACGTCGATAGTAAGACTTTCCAAAGACATAGCCAGCCCTATCTGTTGTCCGACCTGCATAAATGTGTGAACGTTGAAGACAGTCAGTTTGAATGGTGCACGTGGTTTCAGAAAAACTGCTTCAGTCCTCGTATTAGGTGGTAACATACAATTTTCAACCAGAAGGTGACTCGAGAACGTCTAGATAGAACCGAGTTCCCACCATAGACGAGCTACTGTATAAGTTGAGAAATAAGGATACATAAAGTGGGAATAAAAGAGAGTGAATAAATGACGTAAATTGTTTGACTGTTAATCGAAGCGTGAATAGAATTTTCAGTAAGTATCGTCATTTTCATTTTATTTGTGTGAGGGCCGTGATACTGCCCGAGTGCCCAAACCGAAGCAGGTGGTTTTCTTAGGGGGCCCAACCCCAAGCCTTTTACCTAAAGGTCTGACCCACAAGGCAGTGGAACATCATGAGGAGATGCAGTCTAATGGTAGCCAGTGACCAACGATTGGTCCATACACCATCTGTTCCCGCAAGATATTGGAGCCCGTGCGCACCATTGGTTCGGGATCCGGTTGAAGCGCCGGACATTCGCTTTTCGTCCTCTCGTTTTCGTAAACAACAGTAATGCCACGAGAAGGCAGTGAGTAGGACATCCTTGGCAGAGGCTGTATACGCGTGGCCGTGTGAGAGTATTTCGAGAGGGAGGGCGGGCTCACCCCACTCTCGGCCATATCAGGGCATTTGGGAGTTTTAAAAACAGATTACTCGTCATTATTGTTAATTTACAAAAGTAAGATTTCGTCCTATTGATTTCTGATGATATGATTACTGAATTTATATACCATTTTCAGACCTCCACTATTGGACCATTGTTTGCAAGCGCTTTAATTGCTTGTTTCTTGGTGATTCTTGGTTTGGTGAGTTGCGGCATTTTTCGGTGACTTGTTAGTTTTATGCTTAAAATAGCTCTCACTACAATTTTGCGTTGTCATCAAAGACTGTATAATACATATTACCATGTTCTATTACTTTTCATGTATCCCTTCCAATAATCAAAGGTCAGTGTCGTTGATTTCGATGGTAATGTTTAATGTTCAAAAATTAGTTTCTTGACACTTACTAGATATCGAGCTTAGGGTTAAATTAGCTTTCTGGACCTGCTCGTGATCAGCAATGGTTGTTGTATTCACCAGCAATAACCGGTATATGCTTCTTTTCAAAACCGTATTCATGTTGCATTTCTTGGTAGTGTTTCGATTTTGGTGGTTGTGTTTTTTTGGATATAGTACTCTTTTCATATACGGGTCTACAAGAACCAGTTCTACAAGACATTGGACCCATAGTGTCATTTTGGTTCATTAAATTTATCGGGACGAACTGAAACATCACTTGGCTAACGGAATTGAATGTTTATTCCATATCTCAGTTAAGTATGGTTTCGAGTTTCTGGAGTTCCCTAAACTCCGGTCCTAGTCCTCATATGTATGTGGGTGATAAGTTAGTATCTTAATTTAGTGGTCGTCCGCTATATATATATATATATATGTATATATATATAGCAGATGAAGAATTTACTGTTTTCTCAGATCGCAAACGTCTCGTCAGCCAATCAATTCTTCAAGCCTAGAGCTGAACAGTTTATCTAAATAGAATGATACAAGGAATACAACCATTGTCGCCTTCTTTATGTGCTACAGCTCTCTTTTATTTTGTCGGGTGGCATGCACTTCATAAATTTGTAAGTTTTTGACGTCTAAGTTATTCGGAACACCCCAAGGTAAACGTAATGCCAACCAACTGACTCTATTTAAATGAAAAGCATTATCAGTTTTTCAGGAAAGTTGTTTAGATTAGCTTCAGGCGCTTGTAATAATGTTTAAACCCTTCTCTCCACATACCGAAGTCTATACGGTCAAGCATTATTCTTGGCCTTCATATGGTAAATATTATTCATTATGTACACAATCCCTGACTACTGATGAGAACACTTAAATCCAGTCAAGTTCATTAGTTTTTCGTAGTCTTTGTAGGCAGTTTATCAAAGTTTTTCCTTTTCTATAGAACACTTTCATTGCCTGTCTATCTACGGCTTCTGTGAGACTGCAGTATTTCTATGAAATTGATCGTTATCGAAAATTAGTCAACTCGTCACCTCAAACAGATCCTACTTGCTTAGAAGAATATTCTCTCCAACCTTTGCTACAACAACCTCTGTCTATGCAGTCTGCTGGTTCGTGTATCAAAGCAAATACTTTACACTTCCCTCACGATAATTTAAATACTATATCGCCTTTCATGAATTCCACACCAACAGGCATAGGTCTCATTTCTAGTCCTAACATCTTCAATGAGACACAGATGTCTCAGCAATTTTACTCTCATAGACCCATAAGACACTCTACTTACTCACATCAATCAACTATTCTGAGTAACAATTATTAATTGAGAAATTGCATTTGTAAACCACCTCGTTTCACGCTTTTATTTCGAAGCATTAATATAATCAAAAGCTTTTCGTTTAATGCCAACTTATCAAGTGTTCACAACTGTCCGGTCTATTTAATGCTTTGTTTATTCATATAATATATTCTCAGAATTCCACTTTTATAATCCTCAGGTTTGAGTTGCATTCCATATATATTTGTCCGTTTTATCTTATTTGTTTTATAAGCTTTGTATATACTTATTTATATTAGATAGCTCAATGTTCTTTTGTTATTTTTGCTTGAAAAACACTTTTTTAAAAACTCATTTCCCTTTGGGACGAATCATGAAACCTATGTAACATTTCTAATCTCATTAAAACAACCAGCAATATATTCTCATCTTGAGGTACATCTTTTTCTCCCGTGCACCTTTTTTATTAGTCACCTACAAAACCACCACCATGAACTGTTATTTCATCAATACCAAATATGTTGGTTTACAATAAACATTCATTTATCGTCAATTGTTGAAATTTTGTTACCTAAAGTGGTTACTTCAATGTTATTAATCAATAGCTTAACCATCTTATGGATCAACTATAAAACAGGACAATAAACAGGAGAAATGTATATTTATTGCGAAAGTTACGAAGTAATTACATGGTGTGTATGGATAGCATTCAATCGTCCATTTGCACCTTCCAGTGTGTTCTGCAATCTGAACTGTCTTCTCGACTAACCTTCGAAACGTCATACTTTCGATGCACCGAAACTCTTTACTGCCTGACAGTTGCGAATTCGACGCTACGTTCCGATACACCTTATTCGCAAACATCCTTGAGAGTAGCATCCAATACACAACTAAAATTACGTATACCTATTAAAAGAGTAATTTAACACCGTATTGGTTGTTTGGGATATTAAATACAATAAAGACTTATCGTGAGAACGGCTTAGTTTTGTCGCGCACCTGAACCACAGCTACGAATGACTCTGTCAAACTAAGTTAATATTAAAGAGATTGGTTGGGTAGTGTAACGACCAGGAGCAAATGCCGTTGTAAGGTAAATAATGTGCTTTTGGTAAGGTGCAAAAGCAAAGCTTTACATAAACCGAACTAGCATGTAGTGATGTATTTTCTCCGGGCAAACAGTATTCCCACGTCTTCTATGTGGGAGAAATCAGTGGATATTTTCTTCCATGAATACATTTTATTTTATCTTCTGTGCATCGTACTATAGCTCTACAACGAAACGATCGCTAATTTTCCTTGGACATTGTAATCACTCATCACTGCTTTTATTTCAGGTGTTTCCGTGATTGACTTTTCAAAATAATTTCGACCATACGGTCTCCCTCCCGCCTATCACCAGTCATCCTCGTTTCTTCAGTACCACTTGTTATTTACGCCACACACTAGGTTATCCGCGATGCTTTGCTTTATAATCGTTATCATCAAGTTCAGCGTAGGAAGTTGAATTCCCAGTTGTACACGTGCATTGTTTTAGGGAAATGCTGTGCATGGATGAGTATTAACCTTCATGTAACTCATACTGTAACACCAAATTGAAGGTGGCGTGGTATTTCGTGGTCACCAAGATTCTGTGCTCTATCATGAATAAGCTTAAGGGTGTGCTTTGGTGGGCAGCTCAGGGTTTAGAAATCAACTGTCAGGTGGTTTTCAGTTTCCAACAAGTTCCGGTGTTAGATAAAGTTTTTAAAAATACCAACTAATTATTTGGCATAGGATAGTTGTGCCAAGTATAAAACCTTATGATCGAAATCAAAAGTTGCTATTCAAGCAGGCTTTTAGAAATGTAAGCTGAACTGTCATCCGTGTGGAGCTTATATTTATTGAGTAAAAGATTATATCAAATCAATAGACAGTAATGATAACACTTGACTGTACATCGAGAATAGTTACAATAATCCGCATAATATAAGACTATTGCGAAAATGCACCCGCTACGTTAGCATAGGGGAGTAGGGCATCCTAAAGAGAAGCTATAAATTCACAGTCGTGTGCGAATATTTCGGGGAAGAAAATAAGCTCTCCCACTCTCTGTCATCTCAAGTCGATCAAGAGCGATCACTTTTTCTGGTGACTGCGGTAAAGAGCATATCATTCTAAATTTCTCCAACCTGAAATAAAAACAATGTCAGTTTATTAATACTGGCACATAATTCCAAGTGAAACCCAGTATATTTCTAACAGTGCTTCATAAACAAACATAATTCCATTTTTAATGAATGTTTTAATAGAAAAAATGTGTCTTTTTCGCATGATAAATATTACAGGTCATCATAAGTTTATCCATCAGTAAATCTGACAGCTATGTATCCAATAATTTAAATAACAGAAAGCAAATCAAAACACAACTAGGAGTGCAAATACACAGTACACTAAGGCGCATGGATACGCCACAAGAATGCGTTGGTGTTGCATATCCAAACTACGAACAAACAATTTACTGGAAGCAATTGTGCACCACGAAACGACAGTCGCTGTCAACACGACACCTAGTATACTTCTGGGATAAAAATTAAATGAGAGTTGTACATCATTTTATGTAAGACAAAATATAGAAAAAAATTATGTACAGGTAAATTCGAAAAAGGGAGGTTACCGTTATTAAAATCTAAATTGTATATCTAATATTTTTGAACTCAGAAACAACAAGAATGGATGTGGTAACTAAAAGCAATTGATTGACGGGATTGTGACAAATTTACAAATACCTATTAACTCCAATGTCAATTCACATGAAGGTGAATAAGAGCCCATGTAAAGAGTAGGTGCATAATAATCCAGAAGAAACTGCGGTGAATAACCTTACCACCGACATATATAATTTGAACTGTAAGGGGGTGACTGGAGGTAGTCGACAGGAAACCCAAAACCTGTTTCGTGCTATTTGACACTTACCAACAAGGTGTAATCTTTTTGGAACAGATGCTCCCTGGCAGACTTGATTCCGTGTCACCCAGCCTTACAACAGTTGGTGTTATCACTAAGCTATCCGGGGCGCAAATGATCTCCTGTAGGACTCAGATGTATTTACAACTGATTGATCACTGAGTAGTAACCAATGGCAAGGTCCTTAGTATTAACTGAACTCTGTCGATCCAGTTGCAGTGTGATCACTTGTTTTGCTCTATGCTTGTGAAACCTGGTCTCTCCGAGTTGAGGACGTTAGACGACTCTCTGTGTTCGATCATCGCTGTCTCCGAAGGATTGCTGACATCCAGTGGCAACACCATGTCAGTAATGTAGAGGTTCGGCATCGTGTGTTCGGGCGCAGAGACGATAATCCAATCGGTGTCACCATCTTGAAACATCGACTTCGGTGGCTTGGACATGTTCTACGAATGTCGTCCCAGAGAATTCCACGTCGTGCATTATTTGCCGACTCTGGGACTTGTCGGAAAAAGCGGCGAGGTGGTCAGTGCATGACGTGGTGTCGTGGTATGAAAGAAAGCTGCAAAGGACTGGCTTGTGTTGGTCCTTCACGACTGCCTGGTTGGGGTCTGAGAGCTGGTCCTACACAGTGGCTAGAGACGTTATCAGATATGGCTCAGAATAGAAGCCAGTGGCGATCCTGCTGTAACCTTTTACTTTCATAAAAAGTGGTTGTATCTCCCTTACCTGAAAGATTTCTTCTGATGGTACCTTTCCGTTCCCTCGTTAATACCACACTACCTTACACCAATCTCTTCGTTATTGTTCTCTTTTTCTGTTGCGCTCCTTAGTTTTTTTTCTATTTCTCTTCGAATTCTCATTGTTTTGTGTGGCGCATATATATTGGCGCTCTCTTGTACCAATATTCATGTGTTCAAATAAATAAATAACTTGTCTAAGTGACTTGACATTGTTTACATTATGCTGAGGTGCCAAATGGTGTGAAACCTAGATATAGGGTTTCCTGTCGACTACTCCCAATCACCACCTTACTTCCCAATATGCTGCGCGCAATGTCGAGCCACTTAGACTAGTGACCACACTGTATGATTCAATCAGCACTAAAAAGGACTAGACGTACATGACATTCATTGATGAACCAATTGTAAATCAGACATTTTAGGTATTACATAAATATATATGAGAAGACGAATATGATGTGTTTTTGTTGTGGAGAGGGAATGTATGTAAATCCTCCATATGATGATGATGTTCCCAACAACATATTTGTTTATTTATTTGAATACATAAAAATTGGTACAAGAGGGCACCAAATATGTATGCGCCACACGAAACAATGAGAATTTAAAGACAAGGAAAAAAAGGTAAGCGGCGTGAAAGAAAAGAGGAACAATAACGAACAGATTGGTGTAAGGTAGTGTAGTAATAATAATAATAGTAATAATGGGGGAACGGAAAGGTATAATCAGAAATCTTTCAGTTAAGGAAGAAACAACCACTTTTTATGAATGTAAAAGAAGGTTACAGCAGGATCGCCACTGGCTTCTATTCTGAGCCATATCTGATAACGTCTCTAGCCACTGTGTCGCACCATCTCTCAGACCCCAACCAGGAAGTCGTGAAGGACCAACATAAGCCAGTCCTTTGCAGCTTTCTTTCATACCACGACACCACGTCATGCACTGACCACCTCGCCGCTTTTTCCGACAAGTCCCAGAGTCGGCAAATAATGCACGACGTGGAATTCTCTGGGATGTCAGCAATTTTTCGGAGACAATGATGATCAAACACAGAGAGTCATCTAACATCCTCAACTCAGAGAGGCCAGGTTTCACAAGCGTAGAGCAGAACCGCTCTCACTGACCCGTAGATCCGACCTTTTACAGCCAGACTGACATCACGAAGGCGCCAAAGATGGCCCAGATTGGTATAAGCCGCTCTGGCTTTCACTATACGTGCATTGATCTCATCACTCACGCCACCACCAGCATTTATGCAGTTACCTAGATACACGAACTTCTCGACTACTTCTATCTGCTCACCATCCAGGGTGAGTACAGGGTTAGGATCCTGCCAGTCTTGTAGAAATACTTTGCACTTCGAAGGTGCGAAGCACATACCGTACCTACGGACACTGATTGCCAACTGATTAAGTGTGGATTGCATGTCTTGGGCATTATCACACGGTAAGACAATATCATCCGCATACTCAAGGTCGAGAAGTCTTTCTCTAGGCAACAGATCCACACCGCCATTACTTACATCCATCAGAGCTGTTTCCAGAATGTTATCAATGGTAAAATTGGAGAGGAATGGTGAGATTGGGCAACCTTGTCTAACCCCACTGCTTGAATGGAACAATCGAGAAAGGTGGCTGTATGCCCTCACTCTACCCAATTACCATGATATGGCCGAGAGTGGGGTGAGCCCGCCCTCCCTCTCGAAATACTCTCACACGGCCACGCGTATACAGCCTCTGCCAAGGATGTCCTACTCACTGCCTTCTCGTGGCATTACTGTTGTTTACGAAAACGAGAGGACGAAAAGCGAATGTCCGGCGCTTCAACCGGATCCCGAACCAATGGTGCGCACGGGCTCCAATATCTTGCGGGAACAGATGGTGTATGGACCAATCGTTGGTCACTGGCTCCCATTAGACTGCATCTCCTCATGATGTTCCACTGCCTTGTGGGTCAGACCTTTAGGTAAAAGGCTTGGGGTTGGGCCCCCTAAGAAAACCACCTGCTTCGGTTTGGGCACTCGGGCAGTATCACGGCCCTCACACAAATAAAATGAAAATGACGATACTTACTGAAAATTCTATTCACGCTTCGATTAACAGTCAAACAATTTACGTCATTTATTCACTCTCTTTTATTCCCACTTTATGTATCCTTATTTCTCAACTTATACAGTAGCTCGTCTATGGTGGGAACTCGGTTCTATCTAAACGTTCTTGAGTCACTGCCTGGTTGAAAATTGTATCACATCCATTGCTTTCTCGTGGCAAGAGTGATGTTTACGAAATTGAGAGGACGAAAAGCGAATGTTCGGCGCCTTAACCGGGTCGGTGGACATGGAGAGTACACCTAGGGGAGTTGGAAAACCCTGATTCCAAACCAATGGTGCACATGGGCTCCAGTATCCTGAAGGAACAAATGGTGTATGAACCAATCGTTGGTCACTGGCTGCCATGGGACTACATCTCCTTACGATGCTCTATTGCCCTGTGGATCAGACCTTCAGGTCGAAGGCTTGGGGTTGGGCCCCCTAAGAAAATCACCTGCTTCGGTTTGGGCACCCGGGCAGTATCACAGCTCCCACAGAAATCAAATGAGATTTGTGTGGCGCATATGTACTTGGTGCCTCCTTGTACCAATATCTATGTGTTCAAATAAAATAAATAAAAATGAAAATTGTATGCTACCACCAACAACATAAAGTGTAAAGGTATTGGCAAGCCTGCTACTATGAGTGGTAGGCAGAGAAATGTGATTGATAAACGCGAGTAGAAGTGGTTAGGCAGTACATTATATATCCACATTAGCCCTTCTGCTCACTGTCTTTGACTGCGGAAAACATGGTAAGTAGAATCCGGCAGAATTATTCCATGCAAACGATAAATTCGTTCAAAGGTGAATTCGACAAAGAAAAACTAGGCAGCGCATGCCGATTACTAGGTGTTCTTTTTTTCTTGATACTGTACGCTTTAGGTTCAGTGAGAGAGAAAACTGGAAGCAAAATCTGCAAAAATGAACAATTAAGGTTCCTCATGGCGCAACGCCTATGAAACTACTGTAAACTAGCAAGAAAGTTTTGTTAAATGTAGATGCTAATAAGGCATAATCTACTGCATGTTATTATAAGATTACGTTTTCGAGTTATGATCACTTATTAATGTACAATGTATCTATGTCAAAAGAATAAACTTACTTAAGAGAAAATACAATCCCAAATGAAGATAAAAGACACATAGGAAGTAGGCAATATCCTAATGTTGAAATGACACAAGTTGGTGTAACTCCTCTAGGCGTCATAACTGATAACAGGAGGTAAATACCCAAGCAACCAAATACACCTAATCCATAGATATAATTGAAGTGAATTTTTCCAGCCTACGTAGTAAAATGATAAAAAAAGAAATAAGTATACGATTACCAAAACAACTGCAATAAGGTAATCATAAAACACTAACGGTTTACATTTGTATATTAAAACTCACAAACATTAAGGTACAACCAAATAGCAGGCAGAAAACCAAAGGTCCGGCTAAATCTGTATCGTCAAGCACTTCTTGAGAACTTTCTTTAAAAGGAAGGAGGACAGATGATGTCTGAAAAACAAAAATGTGTTGTGGGACATTGTACTACATAATATATAATCTTCAACGCATCTAAATATCAGTTTTTTTGCCAACTATATAGATATTTTTGATATATTGTCATTCGGTTTGTGCGATAGTGGAAGTGAAGAAAAAGTAACTTTTCATGCAGTTCATTTTGGACATTTCGTCTCATATTTCACAAAGAAATCAAATGACAAAAATAATATTTTTCTCTTGTACTCTTTTTTATTGATACTTTCACTAACTGAAAATGGTTCATTTGCATGATGACAAAGTAGCGAACGACTGGATAGATTCATGTTACCAATGGTGAATGTAGTTTTTAATCATAATAAAATTACGTCAGCAACTACTATGTATTAAGTGTTAATAAATAAAACTGCACTAAACTGAAATCAACAAACCCACAATTGACGATAAATAATTAATTATTTCTTATATAAATATTGAAAAAAACTACTTACCTTTTGTACAATGTGACTAAAGTTGATACCAAGTTCTGCAACACAAGAAAATATGTAATTTTAAGTAATTATCATACGGTAATACAATTTAGTATTTTATTATAGGAACGATTGATCTATGATATAATCAGGCATAATTGTATGTGTTAATTGTGTTTGATTGACATAATAAAAATCCACTTCAAAACGCTAATGTTTATAATATTTAAATACATACAAATACTTCATTGGAATTAATGAAGAAAATCAAATGTGTGAAAAATCATTTCACAAGCAATTCTTGGATTCTCACTTAATAACAAGACAAAGCTGTGATTCAGTGATTTAACTAATTAGCAACTCCAAACATGACATCTATAATAATGAGGAAATTTGTTCTTTAAAGTAATTTGTAAATTAAGCAAAACAAGAAGACATCAGACTGAATGCTTATTTTGGTAGAGACAAAATCTTACATACACAGTCTAATGTTGTAGTGTTATGTCGAGAAATCCGAATACACGGTTGTATACTTTATTTATTAAGTAAACATTTGAACAAACATATATCAGTAAACATAAAATGGAACTAGTTCATAATAAAATATATAAACTATGATGAATCAGTATGTAAAAGAACCTAGTAATCATAAGAAATGTTTCTAAAACAAATTGACCTGTTTCAAAATTTATCTGTGAATTAGGTTGTCAGCAGTAGTGAAGTATAAGATTGTATTATCAAGTTAAATTACTAGCTGAATTGAGTCTTACATAACAGCACAAAATGACTAGATGATTAAAAAGTTAGACATGTTGGTGTGGTTATGAAAAGATTTGACTAATTATTAAATACACTTAATTACTCAAAACTATGAACCATTTGAATTCGGCTAAGAGGTCTGATGATATGATGAGTGCAACAAGACCTGATGATGTAACGTAGATGTCTTTTCAAAAAGCATTAGTTAATCTTATCTGTTTAAACTCTATTCGGTTTATTTTCTGCCAACTGTTTGTCCCTAAATACACAAATCGTTAGTTAATTCCAGCCTACTACTTAAGTAAAGTTGTGATAAATAAACGTTCCATGTGGTCTACAGTAAACATTTCTGAGTAAATTATGAGCACGGATCAATTTCAATTTTACTATTTATCTTTTGTTAAAACATTCTCCACTTTCTTTTATGAAAATTCATTGAACGTAACAGATACAAAGTTACACGATATCGTCTGCGTTACATAAAGTGTAATACTTTAAAAATTAGGTATAACTGTTTTTAAATTAACTGCACTTAATAATACTTCTTTATTTTCCAATGATTAAGTGAAAAACTAGTTTACAGACACGTTATTTTGCTGAATAACTATGCATCCTTATTAATGTTTGTGATAAATTCGGTAATAAACAGTTTCATTAATAACTATTGTTACTGGGTTTTAATAGTACTCCTTGATGTGTTCGTGTTGCAAGCGACAACCATTCACTTTGACAACCTTAAAACTTCTGAAACTAAACAAGAGTGAATTTCAACAAAGTTATGCCTTACAAATGCATTATTACAGTGTATGGGAATGTACATATCCATAACGTATGCGCAAAACCCACGTTTGCATCATACATGCAAATAATAGTGCTTTTAAAAGTTATGGTACAGTGAAAGAGCTAGTTCTTTGAAAAATATTTAAAATGCCTTTCATTCTCACCTTCCAACAGAGGTGGTTCATTTTCGTAATCCTCTTCTTTTCCTTCATACATCGCAGCAGAGGAATATTGTACTTGTGAGAAGGGAAGATTGATAGGTTGAGATGGTATTGAATTTGCATTTTCATATGAAAATTGACTGAATTGCCTAAAGAACCATGAAAAACAAACAGCGTTACTGCACAGTTAAGTACTATAGACAAAGACAAACGAATTCACCAGATAAAGTAGATTGTATGGTTTAAGGAAATGGAAACCAGTTAACAATATAAGTGACACGTACCTATTTCCAACTAAATATGCAATTATAAAAAGCGATACAGTGAATTAAACTAATGGGTAAATTTTATCCAATCGTATCTTTGCATTAGATTGCAGAAGGCATCATATTTAACAGAACTCTTTATATGCTAACAGTTAGTTTGTAATAACGAAAATGCTTAAGTTCAATCGTCTCATCTCCACAATTTCAGTTAGTATATCACCAAATTCCGGAATGATTACATGCCTACCAACTCCCAACTATAGTTGCATTTCTTGATCTTAAGGCAGAGTCTGATCCCTTAGATCGACAGACTTTTTGGCAGTGTCTGTTATTGAAACCCGTACCAAAGAATTACGCTGACCTTATACAGACTTTCTACTAGGATACTACTGCTCAAGTCAGAGCTTATGGAGAAGTGTCATTAGAATTTTCAACCTCGAGTGGTGCACTTCAGGGCTGTCGACTTACTCAATCTTTATTTGATTTTGTCATTATTGTGTGACTTTCCATGGATTAATCTCCTATTGGGATATTCACTTGTTGACTTAGAATACGCAGGTGATGTAGTCAACTAAGAAGAAAACCACGACAAAATGCAGTCTTCTGACCAACTAAAGTTAAAATACAAGGATCTATGAGATGTTAAGTGCTGCTTCAGAAGTAGCTTCGTCAGCGGCACAAATTCAGTAGGCCCGAATCACCTCTAGCAACTTGCGTTACTTGTGGCGTAAAGGAGATATCCGTCCCCCAACCAATGGACGAGTTTACTGCGCAGAAGTTTGCTTTATCCTACCTGTGTGGAACATGGGTACTCAGAATACAGAATATTTTTAGGTTGCTAGTATTTGATCATACGTATCTTCTAAGTATCGTTCATGTATTATGAGACCACCGAGTAAGCGATCCCGAGATTATTATTTTTAAACACAGACACTGGTACAGAGGAACACCAAAGTATATAAACAACACAAAAATCACTGGACTGAGATCCTGTTTGGGCGCTCAAACCGAGGTAGATGGTTTCTTAAAGGGTTACTTCCTAAGCCTTTGACCCAGATGTTTAATTCGCAAGCCAATGGAGCAATGTTAGGAATTGAGGTCGCATTGTAACCGGTGATCACGAATAGGTCTATACGCTATTTGTTTTCTAGTGATTCTGGAGCCCATGTGCACCATAAGTTTAGAATAAGGGTTTCCCAACTGCTCTAGGTGGGTTCGTAGTGCCTAGTACTATATCAAGCTCACATGGGCTGTTCTAGCTTCCAAACAGAACTTATTCATTCTTCTTGAGTCACACTTTGACTGTGTCAATTATTCGCTTACTAACCTTGACTGTTTTTATATGAGCGTATGTGTGTTGCTTACCCTATCCATCACATGTCAGTAGCCTGTTTCTATTTCAGTATAAAAATTGAGTCACGCTTTATCAAAACAAGTTGGATCATTCGTCTTCTTTACCTCACCTCATCTCTTCGCTTTTCTTCACTCCCCCGCTTTTCAATATGAATGTGTCTGGATAAACGAGTGCCTGAAATACATTTATCCAACGCAACCGGTATTTGACTTCCCATTACAGCCGTCACACATATACGAAATTAAATGGAAGGTTTGTGTTCATAGCATATCAATTAAGTTTATTCAAATTGGAGTCAGATCAAAAATAAGCCACCGACATATGATGAATAGAGTAAACAATACACACGCTCATATAAAAACAGTCAAGCGAATGATTATTGTAACCAATATTTAGGGACTTTGAGTCCATTGCTCTCTATCTTCCTTAAATACCTGACCCCTGAAATCTCTCTATACCATATTTTTTTATACCTGATCTTTACCACAACTGATCATGTTACCGATTCTACAACTCTTGTATTTACTTTTAGAATTTCGTTAGCTCCTTTAAACTGCACATTTATTCTGTTGAACTGAAAGCTCATCAATACGTTACAATAACTGAAGCAAGCATTTTACAAAACCTGATAACCAGAACACACTACTAACTAGCAGATAAATCCTGATATCAATAAAACAAAAATTGCAGGTGACAGTACGTTCACCAACAACTGTCAAGAATAACACTTTCTAGTCAACTTAATACTACAGCGATTTCAAGTAAACTGTATTATGCTACAAATCTAACGAAAGCAGAGCTATCTAGCAAAGCAGATGTGCAAAGAAATCGAAAACGTTTGAGTTTTAACCTCCGAACTATCTCACCAGACTTTATTTACCCTTTGGTTTGCCTACTTTGTTAATGACTACATGACTTTTGAGGCAGCTATGAAGGGCAGTGAAAAAAACGATCAATCAGGAACAAAGAAGGAAAACCAATCACTGAAGATCAAGAAAAGAGAAACGGGTGAGTAAATCGATTTGAAGAGTTTTTGAACAGACAAGCATAGCTGAACCCAACTCACATCGAAGTAGCACACACAAATATCTCTAGAGATGACATCTCACCAACAATAGTAGAAACTAACAATCCAATTAGATAAATCAGAAATGGCAAACAGTAGAACAAGATAGTATCCCAACTGAAGCACTATAATCAGACCTTGAGGGGATTTAGAAGATGTTCCAAGTTCCATTCAGAAAGATCTGTGAGGAAAAACAGGTACTAATAAACTGGAAAGAGGAGTACCAAATTAAGATACCGAATAAAGATCATGTGAGAATTACAAAGGGATCGTACTATTGTCAGTGCTAGGCACACTTTTCAACAATGTTCCTGAAGTCAATGAAAGGTTTAGTAGATCCATAACCTTGAGACCAACAAAATGGATTTCATAAGGATCGACCATATACTGAACAAATCGCGACACTGAGGATTATTGTGGAACAATGATTTGAACAGAACTCATAGACATACATCGAATTCCTTGATTGTAAAAAAGCACTTGAAAGAGTGGGTAGAAAAAATACCGTATAATCTTCCATACTTTGGAGTACCTGAAAAGATGAACACTACCATAATTAACTCCTAAGAGGAACTGGGTTGCAAAGTCGTGCATCGAGGCCAGCTCACAGGTGAATTAGAGGTGTGGGCTATTTATATTTATTCTTATTATTATTGATCTGAACACAAAAATATTGGTACAAGGGGGTACCAGATACATATGCGCCACACAGTGGAAGACAATGGTGCCTACGCCCAACTTCTCCCTTTTTGCCAACTGCCGGCTGGATTAAGAAAGCTTCTACAGCTCAGGAAAATCACGGAATACTGTGGGTAACTTAAATGAAGCTATATGATTTGACCCTCCTATTCAAATAAGAAAAAGTAGGATCCTGAAGTATCACAAAGTTGACATCAACCAAATCGCACTTGATAGCGAAGCTCTGGAGGAGGTAAAAGATTTTACGTACCTGGGATACATCATAGATAAATAAGGAGAATCTGATGTGGATACCAATGCATAGATCAGCAAAGAAAGACAGCATTTTCACAACTAAGAAATATCCGACATTAAAAAGAACAGTCAACCAAAAATAAAGTCAGAGTTATTAACACCAATGTTAAAACAGTCCTACTGTACAGAACTGAGAATTGGATTGATCGTTACCAAAAGAGTACAGGTATTCAAAAAGCTATAGACGATATACCCTGATCCATTAACCAGAGACAACCAACAATAACTCAATGTGGTAGAGAATAAACTAAGCACCATCTGAGAGGGAAATTAAGAAAAGACAAATAAGGTGGACAGAGTTAACGACAGAAACTACCAAACTGAACCACAAGGTAAAACTTAACGTGGAATCCCCAATTTGAAAAAGAAAGAGGCAAACCAAGGGACATACGATACCGAGAATCGGAGGCAGGCATTAAGACCGGGAGTGACACACGGTGACATCTGGAAAAGAGCGGAGCACAGACTTATCTGGAGATCCCTGGTCGGCGGTCAGTACAGCACGAAGAGTAACAGGCTTCGGTTTGGGCACCCGGGCAGTATCACAGCCCTCACACATATCAAATGAGATTTGTGTGGTGCATATGTATTTGGTGCCTCCTTGTACCGATATCTATGTAACAGGCTTAAGAGCACGAATTGCAGTAATTTTGATAGGTGCGATACTGTTGTATATGGTTCGTTCATCCATCTGTTAGATCGTTTAGCAAACATTGAGTATATACCAATAATTTCTTGACCAAAAATAATAGAAATGAACGTTTTTGACTTACATTTCGGACGGGTTGTAGTATCCCGGTTGCTGAGAACCGGGGTGGTAAATGTTAGTATAACCATCGTAATTCATGATGTACTAAAGTTTATAGAACGAGCTTGGTTTTTGATAAGCGCTGCTACTTACCAGTTTTCTGAGGAATTTAGTTTCGTCTGGGGAAGGTATAACAAAAACATTTAAGTAGCGATATGATGAGATTTACAAATACTTAGTTACTTACTACGAATTTAATATGACCAATTCTATTTAACTTTTTGAGTTGTAAAGTGTGCAGATTATCTAGCGCGCTACTCAAAAAGGACAGTGATACTTTCCCTTTGAGTAAACTTTGTAGTATTGATCGTTTAATTACGCATCAAGACCACTGTTTTTGCTTTAATTGAATTTATTTCAGTTAAAGTAATTTCCAAGAGTATCGCTTTCTTTCTAGAGTTTATCATCTGTACTTTTTGAGTATAGACACAAAAAATAAGGCACTGGTATATTTTTCCTTGCTCAGTATATCTTTTAGTATTGTTTGTATCTAAAGTTTTTAAGGTCTTTTTGTTGTTAGGATAGGCCGGGATATTCGACGTTTAATAAAACAAAAGAAGAAATGTGAGAACGTTGCCATCAGCCTTGACACAGAAAGTACTATGGAACTCTACAGGTCAATACGAAATAAGTGTATAATTAAAATCCGAGAAGCTCAGAGAAAATATGAAATGCAGTTGGCACAATCTGCGATCAAGCAGCGTAAAAGACTATTCTCGTACATGAATTACAGAACAAGGATGCAACATTGGATTCTCAACCTAATTAAAGAACGGAGGGGGTCTGAAATGATAGAGGAAGATTAGGAAAAAGCAGGAGCTATGGTTGACTTTTGGGGCAGTTTTCACTCAGGAACTTCTTCTAGACAAACAACCAGATCAAAATACAGAGTCAAAAAACCATCTGCTCACCGTGAACTTCGATATACTTAAGGCTCTTAGCAGCTTAGACATGAAAATTCAACAGGACCGGATGAACTACACTCCGAAATCCTGAGACGAATCGTAAAATACATTACAGCCCCACTGACTGTGATATTGAATAGGTTACTTGACCAAGGTGTGATACCTATGAACTGGAAGGATGTAATCGTCACTCCAATACATAAAACAGGACCAAGACAACTATCGAAATACGGACCTGTCGGCCTCATCAGTGTCGCAGTTAAAATACTAGAAAGAATAGCCAAAACGACCATAATGACATTCGTGGAAACCAACAACTTGTTAAACATTGAGCAACATGGTTTCGAAAAAGGCTTATCTTGCACAAAAAACCTCCTTATAGTAAGAAAGAAATGGTTAAATGCTCTAGACAATGGGAAATCAGTGGAAGTGGTCTACATAGACTTCAGCAAAGCACTCGACAAAGTGCCAACAAATAGACTGTTATTGAAGCTGGAAAATTTAGGCATTGCCGGGCCTCTTCTAAAATGGCTTAAGGACTTCCTGGTAGGTAGTGAACAGAAAGTAAGAGTAAAATCAAAGTGCTTCACCTGGAGACCAGTACTTTGGGGATTACCACAAGGTTCTGTCCTAGGTCCTTTATATTTTTGTATTGTACGTAAATGATCTAAGTATAGTTGACTCACTAATGTTACTATACTCTAATTACGTAAAAATCCGGCGAGAAATATCAAGAGACGCAGATGCATGCGCACTTCAGATGGACTTAAATATTGTGACTAGCTGGTCTAAAGAGTGGTTGATGCCTGTCAAAATGGCAAAGTGTGCCTACATGCACTTTGGGATACAAAGGTGAATAGGTAAAGCATACGAGAAGTGCCTGTACTCGTGGTCCGGTCTCACAAGGATCTTGGGGTGACAGTGAGTTATGATATTAAGACCACGGCCCACTAACAGGAGGTTTCAGCTAAGGGGTTTAGAACCCTATGGGCTTTAAGACGGATATTCACCAAATTAGATAATACCATGTTCATTACAATATACACAACCTAAGTGAGAACTAAACTTGAAAACTGCATTTAGGCTACAAGCTCCTGTTCAAGAGGTGACTCGAATATCCTGGAAAAAGTAGAGGGCAGCTACTCGTGCCATTCCAGAACTCCGAAGTTTACCATACAAAGAGTGGCTTGAAAGGCTAAACCTCTTTACACTTTACTATTGAACATAAAGAGGTGATCTGATTTCGATGTATAGAATACTAGGAAATGATTTTGTAGCAGATACACCCTCCCTTTTATTTCTCATTAGATCGGAACATTTCATAGGACATAGCAGGCGAGTAGAAAAGACAAGAATGAACAAAATACCCGTGACATATAGGTGTTCACACTGAATCATCAATTCGTGGAACCCGTTACCCAGAGAAGTGGTGTTCGCACCTTCGACTGACTCATTCAAGAGAAGACTAGACACTCTCAGAAGCTTACTAGTAAAGGAATAACAGTCCCAGTCCCAAGCCAAATTTGGTGAATTCAAGTAAAGTCCCTAATTTTATGTTGTATTAATAACTGTTACCATTATTATTTACTCTTTATAACTTGGTTAACATTTTTTCACGTTCATATTTGTCTGGTCCACCACAGGGTCATGGTGGAAAACGAGCAGCTCGAATGACTTTCTACATTTTCAGTGCAACACGGATCAAGTAAGTATTGATGTGCTTCGATAAATGAGGATTTAGTAAACCAGACACTGACATTTATTATTTCTAACACAGTTAACTGTGTTAGGAAAATTCTAATGCTTTTTAACTCGACAAAATAAATAGACCGGAAAAACACATGTTTCTATTAAGAAGCACAGTGTTAGTTATTGAGTCCATTCTAATTGAATATAAAAGGTCTAATAGTATGAATACGAACTTACCTTAAAACCAAGACGTGACAACAGCTGTTACCAATACCGCGCAAACCTCAAGGTCTAAACGGTTCAAATAGATGTGAATGGAATGGTAGAACCTTTCACTTAACGGGCTTCTGTATCTAGTTCACTGGTTCATTGATGCTTTCAGTTATGGACCTAGGTATATTTATCGATAAAAGGGAAATAATGTTAGTAAATCATAGCGAGATACTATCCATACTTACTTACTTACTTTCGCCTGTTACTCTCAATGGAGCATAGGCCGCTGACCAGCATTCTCCAACCCACTCTGTCCTGAGCCTTCTTTTCTAGTTCCATCCAATTCTTGTTCATTCTTCTCATGTCTATCTCCATTTCTCGGCGTAATGTGTTCTTTGGTCTTCCTCTTTTCCTTTGACCTTCAGGATTCCATGTGAGGGCTTGTCTTGTGACGCAGTTCGGTGCTTTCCTCAATGTGTGTCCTATCCACTTCCAACGCTTCTTCCTGATTTCTTCCTCCGTTGGGATCTGGTTTGTTCTCTCCCACAGTAGGTTGTTGCTAATAGTGTCCGGCCAATGGATCTGAAGTATTTTGCGTAGACAATTGTTAATAAACACCTGTATTTTATGGATGATGGTTTTTGTAGTTCTCCAGGTTTCTGCCCCATACAGTAGAACTGTCTTGACATTTGTATTAAAAATCCTGACCTTGGTATTAGTTGACAGTTGCTTTGAGTTCCAGATGTTCCTCAGTTGTAAATATGCTGCTCTTGCTTTGCCGATTCAAGCCTTCACATCTGCATCAGATCCACCCTGTTCATCAATGATGCTGCCCAAATATGTAAAGGTTTTACATCTTCCAAATCTTCTCCGTCGATTGTGATTGGATTGGTGCATGCTGTGTTGTATCGGAGAATCCTGCTTTTCCTTTTGTGTATGTTGAGACCTACTGCTGCTGAGGCTGCTGCCACACTGTTCGTCTTCTCCTGCATCTGTTGTTGCGTTTGGGATAGAAGGGCCAGATCGTCTGCGAAGTCTAGATCATCCAACTGCATCTTAGATGTCCATTGTATCCCGCGCTTCCCTTCAGACGTTGACGTCTTCATGATCCAGTCGATCACCAGGAGAAAGAGAAAGGGTGAGAGTAGGCAACCTTGCCTAACACCGGTCTTCACTTCGAACGACTTTGTCAACTGTCCTCCATGCACGATTTTGCAGTGTAATCCATCATATGAATTCTGTATGATATTGACTATCTTCTGAGGCACACCGTAGTGTCGAAGAAGCTTCCATAGTGTTGTTCTGTACAAGCTGTCAAATGCCTTTTCGTAGTCAATGAAGTTGATGTAGAGTGATGAATTCCATTCAATTGATTATTCCACAATGATCCGTAGAGTTGCGATTTTGTCTGTACACGATCTATCCTTACGGAATCCTGCCTGTTGGTCACGAAGTTGGGCGTCTACGCAGTCCTTTATCCTGTTTAACAATACCCTGTTGAAGACTTCTCCTGGTATTGAGAGAAGAGTGATGCCCCTGTAGTTATCACACTTACTGAGATCGCCTTTCTTCGGTATTTTGATCAGAAGTCCTTCTTTCCAGTCTGTTAGTACTCGTTTCTCATCCCAAATCTTATTGAAGAGAATGTGGAGTATCCTTGCAGTTAGCGCTACGTCTGCTTTTAGTGCCTCTGCTGGGATGTTGTCCGGTCCTGCTGCTTTGCCACTCTTGATTTGTCTGATGGCCATGCTGATTTCTTCAATTGTTGGTGGGACAACATTGATTGGGAGGTCCGTGGGTGCTGCTTCGATGTTGGGTGGGTTCAGTGGCGCTGGTCGATTCAAGAGTTCTTTGAAGTGTTCTGCCCACCTGTTTTGTTGCTCTTCAATGTTAGTGATTACCTTGCCTTCCTTGCTTTTCACTGGTCGTTCTGGTTTGCGGCGGTTTCCAGAGAGTTTCTTTGTCGTGTCATACAATTGTCTCATGTTTCCTTCTCTTGCAGCCTTTTCCGCCGTCGTTGCTAAATCTTCCACATATTTACGTTTGTCGGTTCTGATGCTCCTCTTCACTTGTTTGTTTATTTCCGTGTATTCAGCTTGTGCCTTGGCTTTCTCTGCTCTTGTTCGGCTGGTATTGATCGCTGCCTTCTTGTTCCTCCTTTCTTGAATCTTATCCAGTGTATCAACAGTGATCCATTCCTTGTGGTGGTGCTTCTTGTGACCCAGGACCTCATGACATGTTGAAGTGATTGCTTCTTTGATCCCCTTCCAGTTGCTCTCCACAGTAGTTCCTTCTCCATTGAGTAGATCATGAAAGGCTTGGAACTTGTTGTTGAGGACTATCTTGAATTTGTTGAGTTTGTTAGTATCTTGGAGAAAGGCCGTATTGAACTTTTGTGATATTGTCCGCCCCGTTGTGAAGTGCTTCTTGAGTTTCAATTTCATCTTGGCGACCAGCAAGTGATGATCTGATGCTATATCAGCTCCTCTCTTGGTTCTCACGTCCTCTATAGTCCTCCTGAACGTTTTGTTGATGCAAATATGGTCGATCTGGTTTTGTGTAGAGTGATCCGGTGAAGTCCATGTGGTTTTGTGTATGCGTTTATGTTGGAATATGGTGCCGCCTATGACCAGCTTATTGAAGGCACATAGGTTTGAAAATCTCTCACCATTTTCGTTCCTTTCTCCCAGTCCGTGTCGTCCCATGATGTCTTCATATCCAGTGTTGTCCGTTCCAACCTTGGCATTGAAATCTCCCATCAGAATGATCAGGTCCTTTGTTGGGCACTTCTCGACTATTGACTGCAGCCTATTGTAGAATTGATCTTTAGCGTCTTCATTGTAGTCGTTGGTAGGCGCATAGCATTGGATGATGTTCATTGAAATGCCCTCTTTCTTTGTTTTGAAGGAGGCTTTGATGATCCTTGGTCCATGGGATTCCCACCCTATAAGTGCATTTTGCGCTTGTTTGGACAGCATCAATGCAACACCTTGTGTATGTGGTGCATTTTCTTCTTCATGGCCGGAGTATAACAGGAGCTCTCCTGTAGTTAGTCGTTGTTGTCCAACTTGTGTCCAATGTGTTTCACTGATCCCAAGTACCTCTAGGTTGTATCTTCTCATTTCTGCAGCAAATTGAAAGCCTCTCCCGGTGTCCCACATTGTACGAACATTCCATGTACCTAAATAAATGGTTGCTCTGGTTGTCAGAAGGGGCATCGGCCTCGTAACTTCCGAAGGAATTCGGCTTTCATCATGAGGCGTCATAATTCTTCTAAATGAAGACCTGACTCCCAGGGCAGAGTTTAAAAGGTTTGAATAATTTTTTCTGGTTAGCGTTTTTTTAGCGAGTTTGTCTTCTACGGGATGGGGACGCTAACCCCATGCCCAACCCTCCTCCTTTATCCGGGCTTGGGACCGGCAGTAGCCCCCGGAGGGACTCCAGGCGGAGTTGAGATACTATCCATAGTCCTTAAAAATATGTCAAGTTTCCTCTTAGAGGACTCTTGGGAATTTTTTCGAACCAGCTCATCAGGCAGTGAATTCCAGGATTTGATCACTCTTAATGAGTAAAAAGTGTGACTACAGCCCATTCTACTGTAGCGGTAAATAAATCCCCAAAATCAATAGCTCTGTATGTTTTCAACATCTGGTGCTTGCTGCATTAGTTTAAATGGACTCACCTAGCTGAAGACGCTTTGTTGCTCATCCACATCAGATCGCTAGTGGGTACGTCATGCTACGCATCCGTTTCAACTACTAGTCATCTTAGACCAAGCGTTCCTTCGACCTACCTATAGCATTCTAAATATATCTTCTAACTCCTTCACTCCTGACTTATGATTTGATTGAGGTGGCATACTTCGATTATAAAAATGTTACTGGTTAAGACGTCTTTAGTGGTGAGCCCGATGTGATCTGGTACATCAGTTCGTAAACTGTGAGTTTGTCCCTTGTTGGAAGATTATATATCATTTTTAGCTTTCATTTTTTCACACTGTGATAGTTTTCATGTCCTCCTCCTTGGTGACCAGACCTTTGTTGAGGGCTCGTTCAGACAACTTTTCCTGTCTAAGCTTCCTCAACAGGTGCAAACAATGCTTGTCTTATTTCAAAACAACGCATAAGACGAGCTGGCCGCATCTGCCAACTGAATTCTGGAGATCACCAGAACCTGTGATGCCGAGGTCTATTCAGTCAAAGAAAAGCCTCAAACGACACGAAACGGTGTCACAAACCTCTTTCATACTCTGAAATGTTACCTTGGCATTCATCATGACCGTAGACAATCCAAAACTCCTTGAAGAAACTCGTCCCGAAAACGATCTGTCTCTGCATCATGAGAGACAGATGAATCTGATTGATGCTGGTATCGATAGATTGCAGAAAACTCCTCAATTCCCCGAGGTTCAAGCCGACAGACACGAAAAAATTATCGGTCGGCGCGTGTTGACGGCAATCGCAGCCGGTGAACATAGCCGTCCATTATTTATCACTGGTGTGGTGACAAAAAATCGCTACCCTGTCGACCCTGGCTCTAAGTCAGCGTTCTTCTGACAAATTCTAACGACCGACAGCATGAAGCAGTCTCCAACTCACAGGCGGCGACCGAGAAACCGATCACTACATTTGATAATCAGTAAGTGTATCTTAACGTGAGTTTACTCAAACTCATTCGCTGGATTTTGGTTTTTGTAGACGTTTCTATGCCAGTCACTGGTATGGACCTGCTACAACACCTTAGTCTATTTGCTGACACGCGCAGATAGTGGTAAGTAGACGAAAATACTAATTTATTTGTTCGGTTGACCTTTTCCAGTTGTAGATTGTCCCCAGACATTTTTAACCACAGAGTCGAAGCATACTGTAAACGGATACTTGATTAGTGCCCCAAGCTATACCAAACGCGACCAAAACTGCCATGTACAACCAACAACGTCGCACATCACATCACGAGTGCGCGACCACATGTATTCTCGAAAGGGTTTTGACTAACTCCTGAAAGGCTGAGGTTGGTCAGAAACGAATTTGACTGCATGAGAGATTTAAGAACTGTCCGACTATCAAACATCCCATGGACATCGCTCTTGC